TTTTTTCTTCTGAAATAGAGTATCTTTTTCTGAAGGTAATAAACAAAAAGTACAAAATTTGGTAAAAAATTTTGCCCAAATTAGCTCTCAGGGAATTTTTTGGGGTGTAACAGTTTTTTGTCCCAGCGGTGATTTTCCCCATTTTGAGTCCTGTTTTTGGCCATTACTTTTTTCCCCATTAAACAAATTTTCTTAGCTATTTTGTTTGTTGTGTTCCTTTTTTTCAAACTGGCACAAAAATTTCCCCAAAGAAACTATTTCAGCTAAGGGCCCAGAAATTTTGGGCCCGTGTCATAAAAAAACTTAAAAATTTTCCCAAAATTTTTAAAAATTGGGTCCAAAATTGAAAATTTGCGGGCCCTTCCTGGTACAAAAAAACCCTTTTTCCTCTTTTTTTTAGTTACTTCCCGGGTTTTTAAACAAAATTTCCATTTGTTTTTTTATTTTTTACCAAAAAGTAAAAGATTTACTGTTATGCAATTTTTGTAATAATTGTATAAATAATATCAGCAAAAATTGTGAACGCATATTAGATCCACCAGCTGACATGTATTGGATGTGTGATGAGATTTGTTTTACCTTGAACATTGGCAAAAAAAAAACATTTCCATTTTCCCCGGGGTTTCATTTTCAAGCTTTTTTCAGTACTATTTCTGTAAAAATTTTTTCCCCATTTTTATGAAATGGCCCAAGAAAACTGAAAAATACTCTGTAAAAAGCCATACAAAAATACACTAAAAAGTCCCCTTTTTAAACCCCAAAAAAAGGTCACAGTTTTATTTTCTCTGCACTGATTTTGTTTGGGGAAAATTTTTTTTTAAAAATGTTGCACATTTTACCACATAGATGCTTTCTTCATATTTTGGCCCCAAATTTACTGCTCACGGCTTCCCTAATAAAGTGAGTCAGGATGTAGTTACTGTACTATGGTTGGCCCGGGTTTTCCAAAGCCTTAGAATGCAGGTGGCCCCTTTCAGGGGTTTTAAAAATTATTGAGAAACCAATAAACCCTAAAATAATTTCACTACAATACAAGTACAGTGTGTTTGAAAATTTGATAAGTACCCTTGATGGGTTTTTTTAGATAATTCTTGAAGGAGGGCTTTTGGGAGATGAAAAAGGATTTTGTTGGTAGTGCTTGCAGGGAATATCTGTGTCAAAATTTGATTTCCCTTTAATGTCATTGAAAATTTGGAAGATAACTTTCCAACTTTCCCTTTTCCCCCAAAAAGAAATTACAAAAAATGTACGTTTGAATTTTATATATGTTTAAAATAGGCAGGGGGATTATTTGAAAAGGGGTTTAGTTTTCACAATGTAAAATTTTTCCCGGATCTTTGGGCCCCTAACACTCCTCAAAATGCCCGGGTCATCTACAGTTTTGTTCATTTTTTCGGTGTGAAGAGACGGTTTAGAGTTTTGGCAGGGGGGCTCCATTGAAAATTTAGAATTAAAGAAGACTCAAAGCCATTTTTTTCAGGGGCCAATGGTTTGGTAATGCCCTTTTTAGTTTCCCTGGCGCTTATGCCCGGATAAAATTTGGGGGGAAAGAAGAAAATTAAAAACCCCGGAAAGAAAGGGAAAATGGGATAGTGATAGATTTAAAGGGAAAAATTTCAAAAATAGAAATAAATAAATAAAGGAGTTAAAGAAAGTAGTTGGTAAAGGGTAAAAAGGAAAATATAAGTGTGATCCTGAAGGTCGAATATTGAAAAAGGGCAGGATACTAAGAAAATTGGTTTTTAAGGCTACTTTTGATATTGTGAAAAAATTTAAAACCCCCCAAGGACACTTTTGATGTTTTTTAGAAAAATTTAAAGAGAAACTAAAGAAAAAAGTTATGAAAATTGGCAGTTTAAAGCAAAAGGGGAAAAATATAAATGAAGAGAATAAAGCTATCTTAGAATTTTAATTTGGGGAAAGAAGGGTCATTCAAAAAAATAAAAAGAAGCAAAGCAGGGAAGGTGATTTGAGAAGTTTTAAAAGGGTGGGGGAAAAAGATGCAAAAAAAAGGAAAAAAAATAAAAAGGGTTATTGATAAAAAACCCAAAAAAACAAAAAAAAAAAAGTTTTAAAAATTGCAAAGTTGAAACACAAACCCCTTTTGACAACCCCCGAAAAAAATGAAACAATTTCCTTTAAAAAGCTGGGCAAAAAAAACTAACAAAAAATTACCTTAAAAATTTTAAAAAATTTCTGAAATTTGTAATAAAAATGGAAAAAAGAGATTGCTGGGCTAGGGAGCAAAGAAAGGTAGTTTTCTAAAAAAAAAAAAAAATTTCTCACTGGAAAACAAAATCTTGGTAAAAAAAAGCCCCTAGGGGCAAAATTGGGGGTGACTAAAAAAACCCCGGATGGTTAGATAACCCTTTGGAGGGAAAGTAGACCAAAAACTTTTAAAAAAAATAATCAAATAGCAAAAAAAAATTCATTGGACTCCAATATTGGGGCAAGAAACAGTTAACCCCCTTTGCCCGCAAAATTAATTTCTCCAAAAAAACCCCTTTGTGGAAGAAAGAAAGCAAAGCCCAAAAAAAATTAGAGGACTGGGGAGTATAGGATCTAATTTGGGAAAAAATGCTGAGGTGGGGAGGGAAAAGGGTTTTCACAAAATTAAGAAGCATTTTAAATTCCCGACCAATCTTCAATGTGGAAGTAAAGCACAGTGAAAATTTTTGGGTGAAGAATTTTCCCAAAAAAGTAAGAAAATGTGCAAGAAATATCAAAGATAAAGGAAAAAGAAGTTTAAAAAAATAAAAAAAGGGAAAATACCAAAAAATGAAGAAAAAAGGGGTTATATTTTTTCTTTCAAGTGAAGACAAATGATAGCTCCCATGATTCTGAACCAGAAGTTTTTCGTTTTAAATTTTTGGAAATGGTTTTTAAACTGTGGAGGGAAAAATGGGAATTTTGGGGGCAAAGAATTCCCCTAAAATTTTCCCTTATCATTTCCCTAAGGTTCCACTGCAAAAAATGGTGGGGGACTCGAAATACAGAAGATGCAGTGATAAGCAAAACAAAGTTGTTATTTAGAAAAGGAGGAGGGAAGGAAATTTTTGAAGGTTACTGTGAAACCCCAAAAAGAAGAAAAAAGGGAGCCAAAATATGGGAAAAAAAAAGGGTGACTATCTTATGTTCCCTATGGGCCCGTTTCCCAAATTTTTAATTTTTCAAAAAAAGGAAATGGAAAGATTCTGGCAGGAAAATTTCATTGTTTATCCCGCAAGAAGAGGGAAAAAAAAAGGGGCAAGCCCGGGAACAGTTTAAACCTATAAAAAATGCATTGAATAAGGGGAAAACGTAAAAAATTGCAGGAAGTTCAGAATAAAAATGGAAAGGCCCTTGTTATTTATGTCAGGGGATACCTAGAAACCCAATTTTTCAAATTTTATCTAGCAGTGTTGCCCATGTGATGGGTGCATTAAAATAAATGTTTGAAAAGGGGAAAAAAAAGGGGAAATTTTGGGAAACCCTTTTTTTTTGTTTATTCCCTTTGTGGGAAAAAAAAGACAACATTGGGTGTGAAAAAAAAATACCAAAAAAAAAGGGAAAAGAAAAATTTATTTTTTGTACCCCAATGAAGGGAAATTTAATAACAGAAGGGCAAAATATTGAAAAAAATTTTTCAAAAAAAGTTTTCAAATGTGAAAGTGGTGAGTAAGTTTTAAATTCCGTAAATACATTACAAGGGGTAAAGTAATTTTTAAAAAAATACAAAGAAAAATAAGGGCTATTAAAGAAATAAAAAGGAAAAAAATTTTTTATTAGCAAGCTCAGAAAGAAAATCAAGGAATTTTAGTTAAATTTAAAGATTTTTGAAATTAAAAAAAATGTTTGGGGGAAAGTAAAGTTAAAAAATATGTAAAAAAAAATATTTTTAAAAAATGTGTAAAATTTTCAAAGATTTTAGTGATATTTGCATTTCAGGGGAAATTTTAAGGGCCCCCAAAAGAAACTCCAAAATGTGAAATTCCCAAATGTAATTTTTTTTGGGTGCACTGGTTTAAAAAGTGTGCCCCCAAAAAACCTTTACCCCTATTTCAGGGGTTAAAAATACAAGAAGTAAACTTCACTTGCTTTCCCAAGGGAAAAAAAAAAAGGGGTCAGCGAGTGTAGGTAAATTTTCTGATGGTGAGGGAGCTTCGCAAAGCCCCCAAATTTTTTTCTAAATTGCAAAAGAAAAGAAAAATTTCAAAAAAATGAATTAAAAAACAAAAAGTTTTACCGTATGAGACAGTTTAACATTTAGGGCAATTCTTGATGAGAGTTTTGTTAAATTACCCCCGTCACCCAAAAAAAATAAGAAAATATATAAGAAAAGTACAAAGATTTTTTGGGAATTTTTTGAATAGGAAATTAAATATTATTAAAGGGGTTTACTCCCTTGGGTTTTTTTTAAATGAAGAGGAGGAGGGTGAAATTCCATTTTGTCTAGCCCAACAAAGAACTTAAAAAAGGAAAAAAAAGGCTTTAGAGAAAAAAAAAATAACAAAGGGAAAAAAAAGGCCCAAATAAAAAAACTCTGTTGACAGATAAGAGACCCTTTGCTAGTAAAAAAAAACAAAGCTTTATTTTTTTTAAAAAAATCTGTAGCTAATTTATTCCCGAATCTTCTAAATTTTGAGGGCCCTTTTTTCCAGTACCTTCTAAGAAGGCATGTAGAAAAAAAAAAAAACAAAAAAAAAAAAAAAAAAAAAAAAAAAAAAAAAAAAAAAAAAAAAAAAACCAAAAAAAAAAAAAAGAAAAAAAAAAAAAAACCCAAACAAAACAAAAAAAAATGCTGTTTAAAAAACCCCGGGAAAAAAGGAAAAAATGTAAGGAATGGGCCAAAAATCTTACCTTAAAGTTTCAAAAGCTGGGGAAAAGTTTTTTAAAAAAATAAAAAAAGAAGAACTTTTTCCAAAGGGGTTTAAATTTTTTAAACCCCCTCTTCAGTAAAGAATACTTATATAAAAAAATTAAAAAACCATTGCGCGTGTTTTGGAAACTCAGAGGGACAAGAGCCAAGTTGTTCAGTCTAAAGAAAATCCCAGTTCTTGTATGTTACATTCTATGCCAGTTTTAGAGCCAATGAATGTTTTTAAGCCATGTAAGGAAGAAACTTTAGATCCCCCTGAAAGTGATAGTAATGGTGAAGGTGGTGTAACCCTCACTTCAAAAATGCCGGCTAAGATCAAGAGACGTCGATCATCGGTAGAAAAAATAAAAGATATTCCCACCAGGTCATCTGTACTAGGTCAAGTGCAAGAAAGTCAAAATCCACTGGAGTTAAAAGAAGTCATCAATGAACCTGTACTGGAAGATGTTGGAGTAGTCTCTTGTCTTGCTGAACATCAGGTACCTCTTTTGAAAGAAACGGCTATGAAGCCTCCACAACCAAGAAAAAAGAGAATAAGATCTTCCCAAGAACATTTATTAAAGAATAAATCAGAGAGTACTCTAGATCCACCATTAGAGATTAAAACTACAGAGGAGGTAACTAATTTGGATAAAGAAGAAATAAGTGCTGCACATAAAATGCCAGCAAAACGAAAAAGAGCAGCTTCTACGTCTGGAGTACCGTTCAAAGATGGACACGAGTTAATTAATCCTTTAGTTAAGGATACTGATGAGGCTCTTGTAAATGTTGCTAGTCTTCCTAAAAAGAACTGTATAAATACTAAGAGAAAGAAGACTGGCAATAATACTAAGCATGATGTAAATGAACTCAAATGTATTGATTGTGGATTAAAGTTTGGGTCCCTTGCCTCATTGGAAGATCATCAACAAGATTGTGTTACAATTGCTTTTGAGATGAGCCTTATGGAAGCGGAGGATCATCTTTTTGAGTGTCCTCATTGCCATTTAACATTTGCACTTAAAGGCACTCAGCGAAAGCACACAACTTCATGCCGGCTCGTCAAATATAAGCGTTCCTCGCATAGGCATGACAGTAAAACTTTAAAGAGGACAAAAAATTCAGCTTCTCTTCATACTCAGTTCTCAGAGGATGTTGTCACTAGCAGTGATGTAGCTACTATTGTTGAAACAACTTCAAGAAAGGCTTCTGTAAAGGCCCGGAGATGTAGTAAAGAAAATGTGGCCAGTGATAAAGATGGCATTTCTTCCTCACTACAAAGTGATGTTTGTGTAGCCTTTTTTACAAATCACACTGAGAAAATAGGTACAAGTTTAAGTGAAAGTAATTTGAAAGAAAATATAAATAAGGCTGGTAATATGCAAAAAATAGTGCCTGTAACTTCAAGGGGTAGTCCTAGAACCAAAAAAGAATCTCAGGTTAATGGGAAAATAGTGAATGTTGAATTTTTGGAATATTCTTCTGCAAACATTGGTAATAATCAGCAGTGTCTAGTGTGTGGACATGAGATAACAGATCAAGATATATCTAATAAACATCAGTTGCTACAACAGTTCTCTAATCGTTGTCAGCAACAGTCTGTACTTGATGTGTGTGCAGTGATTACTTACTACAACCTTGGTTTTGATGCAGTCAGGTCATTGGTAACTTCTGCAATTGTGTACCAAGGTTCTACTCTACTCAGTCTTGATGCTAAGCAGCAATCATCCTTTAATACAAGCTCCCTCTCATCAAATGCCTCCAATAGTTGTGCCATAAAATTAAGAGAGATTTTAGCTTCTCCACATTGCACTAGGATGTCATCTACTTTAGAGACTATAGCCAAGCATCATCAGTCCTCAGATATTGTTAGCATCAGTGGCACACGTCAAGAAGCCTTAAAGGCAGTCTCAACTCTGGAGGAAATACTTAAAGAAATATCTGAGGCTGAGAGTGTAATTAAGAAAAATCGTATGCTCAAATCTATGAGGGAAACTTTTGAAGCAGGAACTCTGACATGAATGAAATAGATGAGATGAATCATAGTCTGTATAATGGTTGTGACTTTCATACACAGTAATTTTATTTCATTGCATGCAATAATTGTGACATGCTGTAAATGGTGATAAAATACAGCAAGTCAGGGGCATTTTTTTTTTTTTTGTGAATACCACAACAAAGGTTTATTTTTTGAAGGACCAGTACATTATATGTTAATGAAACTTGTAAATTGCTTTTTATTGTGAATGTTACATTTCACAATAATTCTTATAAAGCTCTGGACAGTATCTTTGAGCTAGGGGGTTTCCAGTTCATATTTATGTAATAGTAAAAGAAAAAAATCAAAATATTTATTGTAGACTGACCTAAAGTTGTATATTAGTGTGTATATTTGTTGTTAGTCTAGAATGAATACTTGAGATTTAATCTACTTAGAAATACACTTCATTAATAAGGTTAGGGTCCAGAGATAGAGCAAGACTGCATCACATTGCTGATACTGTACATCCATTGCACTATTTTTCTGTATTTTCTAATAACCATAGAGAAGACAAAGTGTGTATGTATAAATATTATTTATAAGGAATAATTTTACAGCTGTTGAATTTTAAGGGAATTTTGCAGAAGTATTGTTTATAGAATTTTGTATATATCCAACATAAAATTCCCAATACACCCCTAGGAATTCTCGATTTAGTAAGTTTGTGTGTTATTTGTGGTTGCTCTCTGCTTGGAGGTAATGTCCTGTATGCAGTATTGCATTATAATTATGTAGTGAAATGTGGCATCTTCACAAAATGTGCATATTAATTTATAAACTATAATTTTGGCTCCAGTAAAATGGATATATTTCTATCAAAACCTGCTTATATATAGTAGCCATTTGTTATTCTAGGAATTATTTTTAGATATTGTATCTAAATGTCTCTTGATCTCAAAATAAGTCAAATTGAATCTGTACAGTGTGTTTGAGGAGATTACTTGGTAACACAGCTTTGGCATTGTTCACACTGCTGTGCCCCTCCCCCCCTTTTTTTTAATATATATATATGGTATATATACTGCATTTTGGAGACACACCTCAGTCATTTTTCTGCTTCATATTGACACCAGCAGCAGCACATATTTACAGATAATCATTATATATTTTTTCTTCTTCGTCTTTCCTATATTTAAACGTAAATACCCAACACTTACTGTTGGTTTATGTTTCCCGTCACTTAGTTTTAAGAATGTGCTGCGTGTAAGTTTGTCTTTTCATATTATTTATAAATACATTTTTGTACTAAACAGTAATATAAGAATAAATGGAGATGCATGAATTACACAAGTTTTATATATGATTTAAGAACTGTAATATTAAATTGCAGAACATTTAAATTTTGTTATATTTTGGAATTTGGTCTCCTCTAGAGAGGCTCCTTGATGCCAATGAAGGACTCTTAAGGAATTGGACCTGACCTTTCCTTTGGATCAAACCTGATTGCCTCTTGTTTCCCAGGCATTGTACAACCCTGACAGGTTTAGTGCTCCTCCTTCTGATTTCCATAAGTATCTGTGTAGATTTTTCACGGTTTGCAACAGATTTCTTGGTTAGGTTAAGTAAGGTTGAGTTGTCCTCTGTCCATACAAAATAACCAATTAAAAGCACCACAATGGAAAAATAAATATAAGATAAAGGTGATAATGAAGAGAAAATGAGCATCCACAGAGCATAGTAAGCAGAGATGTAAGATTTTCCCTGCTGAAGGTTCCTTCCCTCTACAAGGGGGGCTCCTTGGCGTGATGAAGAGGCTCTTGGTCTGAGGAATTAGACCTGTCAGTCTCCTTCCTCAGACCGAACCTAATTACCCCCCAATCCCCCCATCCCTCTCCCATCCTCCCCTTTTTCCTTTCCTCCTCCTCCTCCTCCTCCCCCCCCCTCCCTTTTGCCCTTCCTTTTTGGCCTTTGGGATTTTTTCCCACAGGCACGCTAGTTCCTAGGTAGGGGAAAGGGTACCGGGGTCCATCCCATTCCGTTGAGGTTCTTGGCGGTGGCGTAGTTTGCCGTGGAATCTGGATTGCCTGGAGATATCCTGATCCCTCTCCGGTATCCCGGAAGTGGCTTTGGGTTTCTTTCGGGCAATGGGTGTATCTCTGGAAGCCACCTTTCAGATTCCGGGGGTGGTGGCCGAAGGAGGTATGCTTTGTGGCGGATATCCGGCCGCCCTCTCTTTTGTCCACAGAGGTAGCTAGTCAGATGTGAGGTTGCTATCCCGGATTGCTGGTTTACTGGCATGATGGGTAGGGTATGGCACGGGTTCCATGCTGCATCTGCGCTACTTGCTGTGCTGAGGTCTTCTTGGGCACGGAGGGAGATTTCTGGCCCTTTCATTCCTCCTAGGAACTATCCCTCCCGGGTACCCCGTTTTTTTTATTCTTTTTTTTATTTTTATTTTCTTTTCTTTCTTTTTTTTTCTTAAAAACAAAAAGAGAGGAGCAACCTAACCATGGAAGCCCTAGTCCATGAACCTGCTTCCCCCGGGCCCCTTCTTTATACCGCACCCCGTTCTGACCCCGCCTCGTCTTTGGACCACTCTTCGGACACTCCTAATGCCTCTGTACCTCTTGCCGGTGCTGTTTCCTCACCCGCTTCAGGTACTGAGGTCTTGACTGACTCCTTCGATTTATCTGAACTCAGCTCTCCTTTGACTATACTTCCGGCCTCTCCCTCTACGGTGCGGCAATTTTCGACTCGCCGGCCCGTTCCACGTCGGACCAACTCTGGTCCCACGCCTAAACGCCAATGACAATTACCTGCTGATGATGCTTCTCCACCTTCTCGTTCTTCTCGGGAAAGATCGACACATCCTGCACTCCCTTTCCATGCTCAGTTTTAGAATGCACAATGGACTAAATTCTTCACTTTACGACCGACTTCCTCTATTACCTATCTTTCCGACCATAGTATTGGCAAGGCACTCCTACGCTATGTTGGTAAAGATATTTCTTTTCATGCTCTTAAGAGCGGTACGTGCATCATCACTGTACAGAATGCTACCCAAGCTCATGATCTTTCTCTTCTTTCCCATATCGATATTGTTCCTGTCACTATTGAAAAACATCATTCCCTCAATTCTTGTAGTGGTACCGTCATTCTGCGCCATACCATAGTTCAACAAAATTTCCAGACATGTGGCAATGACATTCTTGAACAGCTGGAACTCCAAGATCTCCCAATCCTCAAGGTAGACACTTATGTTCTTCCTGCCTGCGGGCGGAGACGATACCTTAGCAATGTGGCTCGTTTAACTTTTGACAGCTGTGAACTCCCATCCTCAGTTTATGTAGCAGGACATCGGTTACAAGTTCAAAAGGTTATCCCTACGCCACAACAGTGTAGAAATTGCTGGCGATTTGGCCATCCAGCGAAATATTGCATATCTATAGCCGAATGCCCAGTCTGTGGTGCTGATGACCATTCTAATACGTCTTGCAATCGACCTCCCTCTTGCCTTAATTGTCGTGAGGCTCACCCTTTGTACTCTCGCCATTGCCAAGTCTACTTAAATGAGCGGGAAATCCGTTACCTCAAAGAGGCAGAAGGTCTCCCTTATGTCATAGCAGTTTCTCATCTCCACCTCCAAGGGAGACTACGTCGTGTTTCTTATTCCCGTGTTTCAAAACGTCCCCCCACTTCTGGGGTCCCATCTTCTGCAGCCTCCTCTGTGGTTACCTCTCCCATAGTCACTCCTGTATCTAATTCTTTTGCTGTCCTGGGCTCAGACGTCCCTACTTCAATGCCTCAGTCTGTTCTCGCTTCTTCGTGTTCTCCCTCACTAGCCTCGGTATCGAAGAGATCTCATACGACACTTCCTCCCAATCGTCGTCCTACTTCTCAGAAGTCAAAAAAAGGTCCTTTAACCCCTCTTTTCCTTCTTCCACCTCCTCATTTTACCTTCCCTGTCTCTGTACCTGGTTCTTTCCCTCTCACTGGCTCTGTTACAAGTGTAGAGGTTCACCCTCCTCTTCGTATTGTACCTTCCTCCCCTGTTCCCTCCCAAGTTTCTTCCTCTTCTGCCACCTCCCAGGTTTCTGCCTCTTCTGTCCCCTTCCGCACTTCTTCTCCAGTTCCCTCCACCCTTTTGCCCCCCCCCCTTTCCTTGGTACAGTCCATTACAGTTCCAATCTTTACTCATCCTCCCCCTACCATCTCCAACATTGTCTCCCATATGACATCACTGAATTCCAAAACACTTGAAGCAATCTCTGAATATATCGCAGAGACCAAACCATCATTGGACACTGATCCACTCTCTGTTCCTTCTCTCTCCTTTCCTCCATCTGCACAACTCCTTTCTTCGCAGCGCACCGTTCCTTCGCTGCTTGAACGTTTTCCGCTGCCTCCGCATGTGGACTTTTCTAACCCCTCTAGTCCGTAGGAACCCTTACCTGCGAATTTCAGGTATCTTTATCGTTGCCAATCATGGCCTATTTACAGTGGAATATACGTAGCCTCAGGGGCAATCGGGGTGAGCTTCAGATGTTACTCTCCCAGTTTTCCCCTGTTAGTGTTTGCTTACAGGAACCAAAATTACACTCTGCTGTTATCTATCCCATCTCAGGCTATAATTTATTGTATTCTTCAGATCCTTTTCCTGATGGGACCTTTAATGAAAGTGCCCTTCTTCTACGCGCTGATATTCCGTACCATCAACTCTTTGTTCGTACTTCGCTGCATTACACAGCAGCCCGTATCCAATTGCATAGGTGGTATACACTCTGTTCTTTATATCTCTCTCCTTCTCGGGCATTATCTATTCCGGATATTGCCTTTCTTGTTTCGTCATTACTGCCACCACTTCTGTTACTTGGCGATTTTAATGCCCATCATTTCCTCGGGGGGGGGGGGGCGTCACTGTGATTCCCGTGGCATTCAGTTAGAGGCTTTTCTTGCTACCCAACCCCTCCATGTTTTAAATACAGGTACTAACACCCATTTTGATCCTCAGACTCACACTCTCTCTTGCATCGATCTCTGTCTGCTCTTCCTCCTCTGCACTAGACTTCACCTGGTCTGTTCTCCCGGATTTACATGACAGCGATCATTTCCCAATCATTCTTACTTCCCCTTCATATTCACCACCTCTTCGCATCTCACGCTGGCAATTTGATCAGGCAAATTGGAACCTTTACTCACAACTAACTGTTTTTAGTGAGGTTCCTTCTTCGTCCTCCATCGATGAGCTTTTACACCTCTTCTTGTCCTCCGTTTTAAACGCAGCTTCTCATTCTATACCCCAAACTTCGGGCAGGGATTCTCAGAAATGCGTGCCTTGGTGGTCTCCTGCTTGTGCTCGTGCAGTACGTTCGAAACACGCTGCATGGGGCAGGTACCGGTACAATAGAACCACAGAGAGACTTCTTTATTTTAAGCAGAAGCGTGCGATCGCTCGCCGTGTCATCCGTGACGCTAAACGCACTTGCTGGCGAGATTGTCTCCACCATCACCTCTGCTTCCTCTATGAGCGCAGTCTGGAAAAAAGTACAAAAACTGAGTGGTGAATATTCTCCTGACCCGGCTCCTGTTCTGTGGGTTGCCGGTGTTGATATAGCAAACCCACTAGATGTTGCCAATGAAATTGGCAATCATCTGGTCCGTATTTCTCAGGGGCTCCATATATGCCCCTCGTTTCTTTCCTGAAAGTCTGCCAGAGAGTTAGCACCATTGGACTTTTCTTCTCTCAGAGAAGAACAGTATAATGTGCCTTTTACACTTCAAGAACTGGAGGCAACACTCTCAGCTTGCCGATCATTGGCAGCTGGGCCCGACAACATTCATATTTGTATGCTACAACATTTACATCAGTCGGCCCTTGCAGTCCTATTACGCCTTTTCAATCTTATTTGGTCACAAGGAGTTCTTCCACAGATGTGGAAATCTGCCATTGTTCTCCCTTTCCGCAAACTGGGCACTACGGGACATGAAGCCTCCCACTATCGCCCCATTGCTCTTACCAGTGCAGTTTGCAAAGTGATGGAACACCTGGTAAATAGACATTTATTGTGGTATTTAGAGACACACAACAATCTCTCCACTCGTCAATATGGCTTTCATAAGGGACGTTCTACCATAGACCCCTTACTACGCTTGGATAACGTATGTTCGTAATGCCTTTGCGAATAACCACTCAGTTATTGCCATATTTTTTGACCTTGAGAAGGCATATGACACAACTTGGAGGTACAATATTTTGGCCCAAGCCCACTCCTTAGGCCTCCGAGGCAATCTACCATCCTTCCTTAAGAACTTTTTAACTGACAGACATTTCCATGTTCGGGTTAATAATGTGCTCTCCCCGGACTTTATCCAAGCTGAAGGTGTTCCCCAGGGATGTGTT